GCTGAACTGCAGATAACAGTCAGCTGAAGTGGCCTGCAGTACTGCACCCTAACCACTGCGCCACCTCGGCAGTCTAGAAAGCTTTTAAGACCTGTGTCAGACCTGCCTCAGTTTGAACCTGCCTAAATAAGAACGATCCTTAATCCTCCCCATTTATTGAGAAAGGTATAGTTCCAGGGTGGTGAACCTATGGCATGCGTGCCACAGGTGGCACATGGAGCCATTTGTCAGGGAACGCAAGGTGTTGCCCTATCAGCTGAGTCCAGCCTTTTATAAAGCCATTTTTCGCCCTCCCCAGGCTCCAGAGGCTTTATAGAAGCCTAGGGAGGTCGAAAGCAGCCTCCCCCTCCCCTCCCAGAGCCTCTCTAGAGGTTTCAGGAGCTTCCCTGAAGCCTCCAGAGCGCAAAAAAAATGGCCCTAGGGGCAAACTGGAAGTTCAGGAAGATTTCTGGTTTGCTTGTAGGGTCATTTTTTGCCCTCCGGGGCCTTCAGGGAAGCCTCCTGAAGGTCCCTAAAGCCTCCAGATGGCCTCCGGGGGGCAGGGGAGGCCTCTGGAGCTTGGGGAGGGCGAAAAAAGCATGCAAAAAATGGGGGGAGCGCCTGTCATGCACGCATGTGCACTGGGGAGGTTTCGTGCATTGCATTATGGGTGCGGCATGCCTGCGCACGACCCCCCTAAGCTCCAACTTATGGCATGTGAGCCAAAAAAGGTTCACCATCACTGGTATAGTTTATTAGAAGTCAAATGAATTGCAGCAATGCATAGCCAGAACTGAAAATCATGCACCAAAATCCCCAAGTCCTTAGATTTTATTGTTTTTTTACAATAAATTTCTAGAGGAGCTAGGATCGCAGAAATCATTTCATTACACTTTCAGAAAAGGCCATTATATTTCCATTCCTTTGAGGAAAGTACCATTTCACAGTTACATGATGGTTTATATTATTATAATAGATTTTATATTTATAAAATGCTTTGTTCGGGACTTTTGGACTTCACTGTATTTCTCCCACTCCTACAAAAAGAGGAAAAAATATACAAACATATATAAAATAAGTGACAAATTGATATATTTATGATGCATTCCATAAAGAACCCAAAGAAAGGTTCAGTATATCATAATAATTAAAAATGCCTTCATAGATGATGTAGGACTCACATATTTTATGTTTATTGTAGATTTACGAGGGTATAAATTCTAGTCCATAAATAACTAAATGATAAGATATACTACTCCCAGACTTTTAGACTTTGATGATATTGCAAAATCTTCTGATGGTTTGATCAACCAATTAGTTAAGAGCGTACATTTTTTTTACTAGGGAACAAAGCATTAGACTTGGAATTACACCAATTAAGTTGACACGAGTTGAAATTATACCATAGAATCTTCTTGCATTACCAGTATTGCTTAATATGATTGCTTAATATTTATAGACATTTATGGAATGTTTGTGGTGACCTTAATAGGTGAATTAGTTGGGAATAAGGGGAGGGGGGTGTTTGGCATGTCATCCATGTTATTTGTTGACTAAACACCTGAATAATCTGCGGTCAATGTTTGTTAAATTATAAGACGCCACAAGGTCTTGGTTCTGAAAAGTAATGTACAAAAGATTAAGATGTTTGTCTTTGACAAGGAAAATGGCATGGATGACTGCCAGATATATACACTGTAAATGGAGAAAAACTAGAGCAAGCAAATCAATTTGTGTACTTTGGTGAAATGCTTACTACATATAGGGAAATAGAAATTTTTTAGGATAAATGCTGGCAGAAATAGTGTCCCCCCAAAAAAGTTCTGGTATGTATAAAAATGTGCTTCTGCCCAATTTGTTATAGAGGTGAGAGGTGGATGTTAGGAGAAACATAAGAACTTGGTTGCAGCTAGAATGGGATACGGTACTTAAGTATATGCAGCAAAGGAAAATATTGTCAATATTGAAGGTTGTTGAGTGCATTTGGACTGAATACAAAAGTGAAATGGTTTGGTTATTTGTGTGATGTGGTTATTTATGGAGAATGAGAATCAAATATCAAGTATACAAAGAAAAAAAATGAGAAGCTGAAGAGGAAGCTGATGGTCCAAATAAACGGATGTGGGAAAATGTAATGTAAAAAGAAAAAAGCTGCCTATGAAGAGATGAATGGGAACAGTGGAACCAAAGATGCAAGGATAGAAAGATTTGGAGAAGTCTGGTGAGCAGTTTTCGTGTAAATTGCAGCTTTTTCCTTTTCTATCTCCCGTCTCTCCCCCCCGCCCTCCATTTCTTATTCCTTTCTACACTTTATGAGGTTGCTTAGCTAGAATGTGTCATGTCATGGATATATATAGATATGAAGTTATTACATATTAGATCAACGTTAGGAAAAACTAGTGTTAAATGATAATTTAAATTATTATTGGCTAGGCAGTAATGTATATTGGAAAGGATATAGAGAGAATGGAGAGACAATAACAGAATAATAAATGAGGAAGAAATGAATCATGAAAATTAAAATTTAGAGAATAGAGATGCTTCAATGTTAAAAGAATTGGAGATGAGTTAAATCTATTGGTCTATGGGGGGGGGGGATATGGTCACAAAAATATATCTTTAAGAAAACTAAAGGTCAGCTAGCACAAGAGTTATGAACCTGTGAGATAAAAATGAAGAGCCTTATTGATACAATATAAATCAAAGAGAACATGTTGCGAAATTTCAAGTATAAATTAGCTGCAACCTTATTTCCAAAATCCATAGCCATACAATTCTATACAGTTCATCAAATTTTATTATCGTAATCAATTACATATATGCAATTTCTTCCATCAAGCCTGAAAGTCAGTCAAATCTATTGTTCATTTTTTAAAATATAAATTACAGACAAGCAAGAGGATAAAGTGCTTAGCAAAACTATTTTGTTTTCCATTACATCTCCTGCATTCTATTAAAAGCCAGTGTTTCTTCTTCTCAACCAAAGTGGAACAAAGAGCAAAAAGAAGGGAAATGCCTCCGTTTTCTACATTCCCTGTAAAATTAAAATATTAAAGAAATGAATCTGGATATGATGGAAGCGACAAATCCAAATTCCTGAGAAGGTTGTCACAATCAATAATGTAGGTAGGACATTACTTCATTTATTCTCCAATATAAAAAATGCATAGTGATTTGGCTTTCTATTAGTCTATAATGCTAGCCAACTGCCAAGCAATGCCAAGATCACAAGTTCCTTAGGTCAAACAAAATCATAAAAGCAATTGTCCACATGCTACGTATGGACTGAAGAAGTCATGGCAAGTTTTGATTCATGGTATGAAATCAAAAAAGTGCAAGGTATTTAAGTGTTATGGAAGAAAAGGAGAATCCAAACAATGGCAGATTTTTTTAAAAAAAATGCTGTGTGGGATGAGAAGCACCTTGTGGACTTTGTGGAAGCTCTCGTCATAAATTGCAAAATGGGTGGACAATGAGCATAACTGAGCAGAATAGTTTTGGCCTTTGGTGCTGACCTCATCCATTGTTGTTAATGCAGTTCTATGAAGAAACATGCTCCCTTAGACTGACAAGGGTTCTCCAAAGCTTCCGTATGGGAACATCCAGCAGCAATTGTTTGGTAATCTGCTGTGGCTACGATCACATGAAGACTGACTTACTTTCTTCTTTCTTTCTTTCTTTCTTTCTTTCTTTCTTTCTTTCTTTCTTTCTTTCTTTCTTTCTCTCTTTTCTTTTTGTTTGTGGAGTTAGAAAACATACTATTCCTATCAAGGAGGTACGTCCTAATGCCAGGAGAAACTTTAGACTTCTTTAGAAAGCATGTTTTATATCAGAAAGGCTTAACTGATTTCTCAATCAGATTCTTTGTAAGAATATAGGTATATCGAACTTTTTAATATATTTTAATATACTAAATTAGAAAACTACACACACACACACGCCCCCACACAAAACCAGATCCAGGTTGCTGTCAATTAAGTCTTCTTTAAAGAGCTTAGCAAGCACAGTGCCATGATAAGAGCTCTGGGTCTTTGTATGTATTTTATACTATGGCTTGAACTGAATGTCTGGTCAATACAGATTCCATTAAGGCTGCCTACCTATACTTACAAACAGAACCATCAAACAGTGGCCTTCCTTTACAGTTCTTAACAGTATTATTCCATCATTTATTCCATCAGTGTAATGCTTATGTATATATGTTTCTCAGGATGCCCCTCCCCAATTTTCATCTTGGGGTTCATTAGCTAGCAAGACACCATTTCATCAGCTACCATGTAAAATACTGCCTGGAAAGCTGGTCTAATATCCAGACCAAGTATGGCCCCGAGGGGGAAGAGGTGGTGGCAGATACCCATAAGATGGAGCTGAACCTGGAGGATATGGAGGCTGGGAGGGAACAGGGAAGCCAGCCGCTGAAGATTGAGTGGGGTAAGGACAATGTGGTGTTCCTCCTGATGGAAAATAGGGAGGCTGCATAGGCTGAGGAAATCCTGGTGCTACTGATGGAGCCCTGAGAGAAGGCTGTGGATACCCTGGTCCAGAAGATGGTGTTCTGGATGGAGACCAAGAGTACCTGGATGAAGCCAGATCACCTGTCTGAGGCTGGGGTACTGGATTACTTGAAGGAACAGATGGGTATGGTTGATATGGAAATGGGGGCTGGGCACTTGGTTGAGAGGAAGCAGCATGTCCCACTGTAATTGGTGCTCCTCCAAAGGAGCCTGGCTGGAGAGCCCCATGAGCTGAAGGGCCTGTTGGAACACAAGGAGATAGACCATAAGGTAAAGGAAAAGCTGGTTCCCCAGCTGAACGCTTCTGTGGCTGCTGATTTATAGGTCCAGAAGGTACATGGGAAGGAGTCTGGTGGTTAAATTCATTATCATTTGCTGGCTCTGGCATGGACTGAGATTTTTGCAGCACTTCTTGAAGTTTTTCCACTTTTACACGTCGTAGATGAGATAATTTCCTCATGGTAGAAAACTGCTCAAGAAATGTCTCCAAAGGCAACTCCCCCTCCAGGAACTTTTCAGCCATCATCTGGAATGAAAAATGAATTAAAACAATGTTTCCATCTGCATCAAAGGGAACATACAGATAACCATTTATTTGGTGACCGTTCAAAGTTTCAGGAAGTGGTATTTACAATTAGGCTTCAAAGTTTCAGCTGTCCCAGCATCCTCATGGCCACGTGATGATGATCTGGGCACCTGGCAACCAGCTTGTGCTTACTTTGTGGTTTCCCCTGCAGGCTCCCATAAGTGAAGCCAGCAGGGAAGGTCACAAGTTGCTTGGCTAAGTGTCTCCCAAGCTAAAATGGTGTGGAATTGCTTAGTAACAGAAATGTCAGCCCCAATTACCATCAGACCCCAAGGACTACTGTATTTTAATTCCCTGATGATAAGACTTCCTTATCCAAGCTATTCAAAATCTCCTGAAAATTGTAGGATAATGCAAGAAAAAAACTAATGATTATTCTTTTCCAATTTACAAAGTAAAAGGAAGAAGCTTGAGACTTAAGTTAAATAGCAGTAGACTTATATACCGCTTCATAGGCCTTTCAGGCCTCTCTAAGCGGTTTACAGAGAGTCAGCATATTGCCCCCAACAATCTGGGTCCTCATTTTACCCACCTCGGAAGGATGGAAGGCTGAGTCAACCCTGAGCCGGTGAGATTTGAACCGCTGACCTGCTGATCTAGCAGTAGCCTGCAGTGCTGCATTTAACCACTGCGCCACCTTGGCTCTTAAGTTAAATGCATGAAGAATTTGAGTAAAAGTTGCAAGTTCTGTAAATTTCCTTTCATTCCTAAATAGCACAGAGAACCCATTCCCTGCTATATTTTAGTCTGCACTCCACTCATCCTTAGGTGACTAACCTCAATTAGACTCCCAAGTAAAACTTTGCTTAGGTGAAACAATCCCTCAAAATAGATGAAATGCTGAGATGAGATAACAGAACACCTCCTTTTGATGCCTCACTGAATTTACTTGAAAACTAGTAAATTAGTTGCTATGGACATAGTGAAAGATCAAAAGCTGGTAAAAATACTGATTTATTGCAAAGAAAATACCTACCAGACCCAAGGAGGAGAAGTTGAGGAAATATACTCCATTTCTTTCATCACTAGCCCAGTGGAATTTTCAGATATAATGGATATCAATTTCAAGGGTAAATAAGGGATGTATTTAAGGGCCATATAAAGATCACAGGTATTTGCTTGTGTTGTATAACAAGGACAAAATGTGGAAAAGCTCAGCTAGACTGACTTTTAAAGTTTAATTTCTGTCAATAAAAACAATTAAAATAATTTATTCTCTCTGGAATTTAAATAACAGACTAACCTCAGATTCTTCTTCAATTTTGAGTCCTTCCACTTTCAGAAGATTTAACAGGGTATCAGGCTTTGTTGCTGCTGAGAATTGCTCTGAGAAAAAAAATACACACTAAAAATTAAACAAAAAAAAACATCTCTCTTCTTCTTTTAATTTCAATACAAGCACCAGGTCCTTACATGGAGGCTACCAACTTCTAAAAGAATTCTGTTGCTTTAAGACAGTGGTTCTCAACCTGTGGGTTGGGACCCCTTTGGGGGTCAAATGACCCTTTCACAGGGGTCGCCTAAGACCATCGGAAAACACATATTTTCAAAAAAATACAGAAAACAAAATAATTTTATGGTTGGGGGTCACCACAACATGAGGAACTGTATTAAAGAGTCGCGGCATTAGGAAGGTTGAGATCCACTGCTTTAAGAGCTAGTGTCATGGAATCTGAACCCATAACCAAGAAGAAGAAGGGAAGGTGATCAATTAAAACCAAAACTCTTTTACAAGTGCAGTTTTTGAGTAACCAGATGGTCACTGACACTATAATGCTGTGCAGGCTTGACCACTGGGTGGTATCAACAAATGCATCCAGATGAGACAATGTCAACCATACCCTCTTGCCATTCTATGCCCCAAGACTAAGATGAAAGAAATGCAAAAAAAAATCTTGGCTAGATAAAATCTATTGGCTAATTCTATTCCACTTCTATCCCTATGAGCCACAGCCATCTGAAAATTTACCCAGCTTTGACTTTTGCTCCTGGCATCGCTCTATCAATTTTTGTAGATCTTGATATCTGTCGGAGAGGTTTGCACGTCCTGTTTCTAGAGGATCCTGGAACTTCAGGTTTTGCTCCGCAAGACTACGATTTGTGGCTAGAGCCATCTCCCTTTGCAACTGTACATTCTGGACCTGAATGAATGAAATGTTAGGCAGATGTAGTTCATTTTAAAAAATGGTTTCTCTCTTCAATAACTTCCATATTTATCAATGATTACCTCATCTGACTCCAATGCCAACCGTTCAATCTCTTCTAAGTTTTCCTGCAGTTCTTTCAATTCATCTACAGTCTTGTCTCTGAAGGTCTCCATCTTTTGGGAGGGTTCATCAATTCCTTTGGGATTAAGAGAAAAAGAAGATGAAGTACTGTATATGTAGGTAAATATATCATACAAACTACTGTTTATCCACTTTAAAAGAGGGACCAAAACAACAGGAGATAGATGCAAGAAAGTATAATTCATTGGCATACATGAACTATAGTGATCCTTGGGCTCTTTGCCAAAGCACTGCAGAAGAGCCCCAAACAAACAACATTGCAGATTATACAGTTTTGGTATATCTATAGTAGAAACGAGAAAGAAAATATTGTAAATCACAGCCTGACCTTTACAGTCAGAATGTAGCAACTGATAATGTCATGGGGTGAGCTTATTACTATGACCCAATGCTTCTAAATTCTGCATTCCTGCCAACTTCTAACATAAACAATATTTTATTTACACACACACATATTATGTGTATGTGTATGTGTATGTTTATATATATATACTTAAAGTCACAACCCCTGGTATGCCCAA